TGGAGGGAGGGAGGGAAGGAAGGAAGGAAGGAAGGAAGGAAGGAAGGAAGGAAGGAAGGAATGAATAGCACTTAGACATATACCACTTCACAATGCTTTACAGCCCCCTCTAAGTGGTTTACAAAGTCAGCCTATGGCCCCCAACAATCTGGGTCCTCATTTTACCCACCTCGGAAGGATGGAAAGCTGAGTCAACCTTGAGCCACTCAGGATCGAATTCCTGGAGTGAGCAGTGAATTAGCCTGCAGTACTACATTCTAATCCTTGCAAAGGGAGGGAGGAAAGGAAGGAAAAGAAGGAAGGAAGGAAAACAGTGATAGCAATAGCAGACGTATATACCGCTTCACAGTGCAGCCCCCTCTAAGCGGTTTTACAGAGTCAGCCTCTTGCCCTCAACAATCTGGGTCTCCTCATTTTACTGACCTCAGAAAGATAGAATTCTAAGTTAAGTTTAGCATACATAAAGTATGTATGATGGGGAAAAGGAAAATTGCAATAAATCATTTTTTTTTGTTTTTAAAAAGAAGGCTGTCAAACCTGGAACCCCGTCGGGATCGAACTCCATGCTCTGGGGTATAGTCTGCCTGCCCTACTGCATTTCTAACCACTGCACCATCACACCATCCTAGCTGCGGGCTGAGCAATGCTTAACAGAACCTCTGAAGTCCTTAATTTTGGTTTTTTTGTTTCTCTCCCCCCCCCCCCACTTCCAGCCTCACTCCGAAAGGACTCAGCCCGGCTATGTCTCCCGCCTTGCAACGCCTAGTGAACCGTACTGCTAGCAAGTTCACGGACAAAGCTCTGCGGGCCAGTTACACCCCGTCCCCTGCCCATGTGAGAACGCCCGGCTACAAGACCCCTTCCGGTGCCCTGCAGACCCCCACGGTCACCCCAACCTCCAGGACGCTCTCTCAGACCCCCGTGGCTCAGGATCCCGCCTCTATTACGGACAACCTGTTGCAGCTGCCTAAAAGACGTAAAGCGTCGGACTTCTTTTGACCCGGTCCTCTTGTCGGGGTCTCAGCATGGCCCAATAGACCAATCCTGACAGAGACAATAACGCCCATCGAAAGCAACAGGAGATGTGGGCTTGAGGTTCAGGATCGTTCCTGCCTTTGCAGTCCTGGGTTGCCCTAATCCTGGCTAGCCAGGGAGAAGTAGCGGAGGGAGAGTAAGGCTTTTTGAGTTGAAAATTGGTTCCAACTTTTGGATCGATTGCCCAGGAAGACGGTAACCCGAACTGCTTGCACTGCACCGGCCCTTCTGAACACAGTTTGCTGGTTTGCCTTGGGGGTGCTCTCTTAATTGAATAAAGACAGGCTTCGCCTCCAAGATCCAGCAGGAATCCGGATCGTGGTGTGGCTCCGGCACCCGTCGTTGCGAGGTGAAAGACTCAGGATGGGGGGTGGGGGAAGCAAGAGAGAGAGGGGAGAGAGAATGAGAGAAAAAGAGAGAGGGGGGAGAGAAAAATGTGAGAAAGAAAAAAGGGGAAGAGAAAGAAAGTGAAGGGGAGAAAGAAAAGGGAGAGAAAGAAAGAAAGGGGAAGAAAAACAGAAGGGAAAGAGAAAAAGGGGAGAGAAAGGTGGGGAGAGTGAGAAAGAGCAAGGGGAAGAAAGAATGGGTGGAAAAGAGAGAAAGAGGGAGAAAGAAAAGGGAAGAGAGAGAAAGGGAGAAAAGGAGAGAGGAAAAGCGGGAGAAAGAAGTGGAGAAAGACACTGAGAGAAAGCGAGTGGGGGGAGAGAGAGAAGAAACTATTTTTCAGGTAAGGTGGTGTGTTGCTACCCTGGCATCTCGGTGGCCTGGTGCAGCTGGCAACCTGCCTGCACCTGGTTAAGACAGATCATCTCACCCTTGAAACGAATCTTAACGACCGAATCCATGAATCTCAGAGACTCTGTGCCCAGCCTTTCCTTGCACAGCACCTCATTTGGAAAATATTGACAGGGCAGCTTTCCAAGGTAGATAAGGTCTGTGGTCATAAATTCACCTTTGAAAGACTGTTTGCCAGGCCTTGGCTGAATGTGAATGAGAGAAAATCACAGTCGTTTAATAAAAGGGGTTTTGTTGGGACCAGGACTCTGCCTCGTGCCTTTTGGGGAAGCCGAGGTCAGAACAGAAGATCTCCTAGGACAGTGATGGCTAACCTGTTTCCCATCGCGTGCCAAAAGCGATGGGAGTGTGTGGAGGTTGTGCACGCGTGTGCCCACACCCATAGTTCTATGCACCCTCCGCCTGCTTTTGTCGCACGATCGCACGGTGGACCCATTTTTCACCCTTCCCAGGCTCCAGAGGCTTTCTAGGAGCCCGGGGAGGGCAAAAACGGCTTCCCCTGACATCCCCCTCCACCGCTTTTTTCCGACTTCCTGTTTACACGTTGGGCCATTTTTTGCCCTCCGGAGGCTTCAGGGAAGCCACCCAAAGCCCCCGGAGGGCGAAAAACGACCTAACGCACAAATGAAGTTCAGGAACGGACTTCCGGGTTGCCTGTAGGGCCGTTTTTCTCCCTTCCGTGTGCCACTGCCATCACGGCCCTGTACCATTTCAGACAGGTGTCTGTCTTCTTAAAAACCTCCAGTGATGGAGCACCCATAACACCGTGGCCCATTCTCCTCAGGCCAACTCGCCGCGGGACAAGAATCAACCCTAAGTATCGAAGAAACGGTGCTATAGAATCATGAAAGCAAGGAAGCCAAAGGAGGGACAAAACGAAATGGGAATGACGAAAATTAAAATACGTTTTAATTTTTTTTTTTTTTAAAAAAACCCCACATTAAATTGAATTATTGAATTGTCCTCTGGCGAGTTGGCCGTGGAGAGTTTTGTCCCTTTCAGGGAGTTGAGCCACCTCTTCCTGCCTTCTGCACGTCTGGGTGAGAGTCATCCTACAGCTCAGTGTTTTAATCCGTTTAAAAAATATTTAATAAAACGGGCCTTTCAGCCTACAATAAGGTGCTGGTTCAGAAAGACACGTGGTCTTTAGTTTCAGATTGCGTCTTCCGTTTTCGCTCTTATCTTTATTCCACAGACCCGCTCTCGCCAGTCGGTTACCCGGGGCTACCTGTTACGGGAGGCTCTTGCTGCCCTCCGTCGAAGGAAGGACGTCAAAGGTTGGTTTCGAACGCTTCTGCAATCTTCACCACTTCTTCGTCGTGCTTGTCTCCGTCAATGACCTCCTCCACTTCTTCGACCGCTTCCAGCCGAGGAGCTACGTTGGACACAATGGTTTGTTTGGATTCGCTTTTGAGGGTCTTCTCCCGTTCGGACCGGTGCTCTGTTTTTTGCTCGGCCGTGCTCCGCGAGGTCTCCCCGTTCTTCCCCACGGACGTGGCCGACACCGCTCTGATTTTGCCAGGCTGCATCCATATGTGACTTAAAACCTCCTCAATGCGCAAGCGCCGGGTTACATCCGGCTGAAGCATGCGATAGATGAGATCTTTGCATTCAATGGTCAGGTTTTTGGACTTGGGGAAATGCACCCGATGCTCCTTTTGCAATCGTAACATTTTCCGGATGTTTGAATCGTCGTAAGGCATGGAGCCACAGACCATGATGTAGAGGATAACACCCAGACTCCACATGTCGTAAATTTTGGGCTCGTAAGGGATTCCCTGCAGAACCTCCGGGGCGGCATAAGCGGCGGAACCACAGAAAGTTTTGCTGTAGATAACTTTGCCGTCTTCGTCCCGGAGCAGGCGTTTGGCAAAACCGAAGTCCGAAAGTTTAATGTGGTAATCTTTGTCTAGGAGAAGATTCTCGCATTTCAAATCCCGATGCACGATGTCGCTGTCGTGGCAGTACTTAATAGCGGTACACAGTTGACGGAACATCTTGCGCGCGATGTCCTCGGGCATCTCCCCTTTCAGCTTGATGAACTCCAGCAAGTCGCCCTGGATGCCGAGCTCCATCACGATGTAGACTTTGCCATTGGAGGTCTCGAAGATCTCGTAGGTTTTGATGATGGAGTGGTGGTTGACTTTGGCCAAGATGTCTATTTCCCGTGGGAGGAACCGCTCCAAGAAATCGGGAGGCGCTTTCTTCCGGTCAATGATTTTGATGGCTACATCGAACTTCAGCCGTTCCGAGTAGGCGGATTTCACTTTGGCGTAGGACCCTTCCCCTAAATTCCCACCCATGATGTAGCCCCTCTTTTTAAGGATAGCAGCATCGTCCATGATGCTGTAGGCTGTGGTTATGAGAAGTTTGGTCACATGGTTGACGTAGGCGTTCAGCCATTTATTGTCCGTTCCATGGCGTGTGATCATCAGGAAATGATCCGTTTCCTGCCTTGAAGGCTGATTGGAATGGAACCTTGGCCATTGTTTAAAGGATGCTGTTTCCATGTGACGTCATAAAGCTGAGAGAAATACTGGGCCAGTGGATCTCCATTGTTTGGACCAGGGTAACCTCCAAGCCGATGGCAAGAGAGCATTCTTGCTCGGCCTCATTGGGGTGAAGGGACAGAAGGGGGCAGTGGTGAAATTCAATTTCTGTTTACTACCAGTTTTGTGGGCATGGCTTGGTGGGTGTGGCGTGGCTTGGTAGGCGTGACAGGGGGAGGATATTGCAAAATCCCCATTCCCACCCCACTCTGGGACCAGCCAGAGGTGGCATTTGCCGGTTCTCCAAACTACTCAAAATCTCCACTACTGGTTCTCTGAACTACTCAAAATCTCCACTACCGGTTCTCCAGAACCTGTCAGAACTTGGATTTCACCCCTGGAAGGGGGACTCATCAGATGACTCCAAGCTGGCATGAATAGCCAATACTCCAGAAGATAGTCTCAAGACCCAGAAGAATCTTGACAAACTTGAACATTGGGTCCCATCTAACAGAATGAAATTCAATGTAGACAACAATTAAGGTTTTATACATTGAGGCAAGAAAAACCAAATGCAAAGCTATAGTGTAGGTGGTACTTGGCCCATTAGTAGTAACTCCAAGAGGGATGTGAACAATTGCTTAAATATGAGTAAGAAGTATCCTGCAGCTGCTAAAAAAAACACAGAATTCTAGGCTGCATTAACAGAAGGATAGAATCAAGATCATGTGAAGTGTTGATAACGCTTTGTAATGCCTTGGTAAGGCCACATTTATCCAGTTTTGGTCGCCACGATGTAAAAGAGATGTTGAGACTCTAGAAAGAGCGCAGAGAAGAGCAACAAAGATGATTAGGGGACTGGAGGCCAAGACATATGAAGAACGGTTGCAGGAATTGGGCATATTTAATGAAAAGATGGAC